TGTTGAACTTCTTAGTCGATATATTCCAGCACGAAACCTCCGTTCATCAAATATGAATCTACTTGAGGTCCCAACAATTCGAACTAAAACGTATGGACAAAGAGCATTCTCCCACGCAGCACCGTATTTGTGGAACCAACTACCTGAATGCATAAAAACGCCGAATCTGTTGACTCCTTTAAACGCTTATTGAAAACTCATCTTTTCAAAAATTAAGCCACCAGATTATTTGATATCGTACGTTGTCAAACATATGCATAACACGTAATAATTCATTAGTTTAGATAGAGTAGCGAATTGCATGTATAGGATTTTTATCGAAATTTTGTTAATTTGTAATTGTAAAGCGCATAGAGTTCAATTTTAATGCGCTATATAAGAACTTATTATTAAATTAAATTACACGGACGCGAGAAATTTAAAATTTGAATACATAGAAAATGAAAGAGCGCGCGCAGAAAAAGAATGCGACGAATCCGCAAGCAAAGAAAAGGAATGCATTCTCAACAAAAGGAACACTGCGCGCGCAGTCTTTGATGCCTTATATGGTAATGCTTCCCATACGATGGAAAACGAAAAGGTTACAACGACGCACATGAAAAGCTTGAAGAGGCTTTTGTCGACTGTAAACAAAAACACGAAAAGTTAATCAAGCTCATTGATAAAGACTCAGCAGAACGAGAATTGCGGTGGATTTTTGACGTTCAACAGCGCTACAGTGAAATTTCAGAATTAATGGAAACCCGCATCGATAAAAATGAAAGCAAAACCTTCATCAAATCCAATGACGGAGCAACCCTTAAGCTTACCACTGATGCCATGAAACCTGGCAATATTCACCTAGAGAAGATCAAAATGCCGAGATTTGATGGCGAGTTAAGAGATTACCCCCAATTCAAACAAGACTTCGAGAAACAAGTTATGCCCAATTTGAATATTAATACCGCACCTTATACGCTAAGATCCTGCTTAGGAATGGAACCCCTTGCTCATGTAAAAAGCGTAGACGACGACATCCAAGCAATGTGGGAGCGACTAGACTCCAAATACGGCGATCCTGCAAAAGTCGCTGATACCATCATCAATTCCATTCAGAATGTTAAATGTATTAAGGAAGGTGAGCACAAAAAGTTCATTCAATTCGTCAATGTCATTGAAGAAGGCTATCGCGATCTATGCAACCTAAAATTGGAGAAAGAGATAACTACAACTAGCTCGATCAGCATCATTGAGAAACGATTACCCCCTGACGTAATGAAAGAATGGGCGAGATTAGTCAGCAACGACATGAGCACCATTGATAAAACTGATAAGTTTCCAAGTCTATTGAGATTTCTACTGAACCTGAAGAGAGCTCTTGAATACCAGAACGCAGAGTTACGCCTGAGCAGTGAAAAAGTTAAGGGTTCCGTGAATCATACTGACAAGAAAGATAACAATCCAGTTGAACAACAATGAAATACCAAACAAAACAGGCAATGCCTAATTCACGAAAATGGCCGAGTATACCTCTCCAAACCGATTGAGGAAAAGGAGAAGATTGTCAAGGAGAAGGGTGCTTGCTGGTCGTGTTTGAGACGTGGACATCGCTCGCAACAATGTCGAAGCAAACGAATCTGCAATGTCAATAATTGCAAAAGAACACATCACAGTACACTGCACCAAGAGAAGAAAGAAGAGCCCTTGCCCAAACAAGAAGAAACGCCACCTTCAGTTTCTGGCACGGCAAGTGTATGCGACAGCACTGACGTTGACACCTGTTTACTTCAGATACAGAAAATACGAAGTCCAAAAGGTTGGGTTAATGTCTTGTGGGGTAATGGAGCATCCCTTTCCTTTATTACAAATGCAAAAGCAGAGGCAGAGAAACTGAGAGGAACCAAAGTTCAGCTATCTCTGGTTAAGGTTGGAGGAGAGAATGAAGCCCTGATTTCATACAAGTACAAACTTCCTCTATTTGACCTACAAGGCAATCAGATTTACTTTGACGTGTACGGGATAGACAAAATCACTTCAGACATCCAGAACGTTAAGATAGACAGGATTGCAAAACACTTCAATAACATACCAAAAGAAGATCTTGTTCGACCCACTGGTACCGTCGATGTTTTAATAGGCTATGAATATGCCAACTATCATCCTCAGAAGGAGAAGAACGTTGACCACCTCCTACTCCTAAAGAACCGTTTCGGTAGATGCCTTGGCGGGACACATTCTTCAATCAAGAATATGAATGAAGAGCAACCTCTTAGAAACATCAGAGCTCATCATGTACGAGCAGTAAGAATCGAAGATTTCTATAACATCGAGAATCTCGGGATCAATTGCAATCCGCGCTGTGGAGGCTGTAAATGTGGCAAATGTTCAGTCGGAAGTAAAAACTACACCATCAAAGAGGAGAAGGAATTAGCACTAATTGACAAGAATTTGAAATACGACGAAGAAAATAAGATATGGATTGCCGGGTATCCACGGATCAGAGACCCTTATGAACTTCCTGACAACAAGCGCGTAGCATTCAGCATGCTCATGTCAACTGAAAGGCGACTCATGAAAAATAAAGCTCACGCTGAAGTCTATCAAAAGCAAATAGAAGATATGATTGCTAGAGGTGTAGGAAGAAAACTCTCCCAGGATGAGTTACAAAGCTATAAAGGACCAATCCACTACATTTCTCACCACGAAGTCCTGAAACCTGACTCAAAATCGACCCCCGTGAGAATCGTCTTCAACAGTAGTGCGAATTATATGGGACACGTCCTAAATGAGTATTGGACCAAGGGTCCAGACTTACTGAACGAATTACTAGGAATCCTGATACGATTCAGAGAAAATGAAATCGCCATCATCGGAGACATAAAGAAGATGTATCATACTGTCAGAACTCAGGAAATTGATCACCATACTCATCGCTTCCTATGGCGTGACTTCAATACAAGTCAACATCCCAATACATACATCATACAAAGGGTTTCCTTCGGAGATCGCCCCTCTGGGACCATAGCGACACTGGCATTGTGGGGAATTAGTAAGGATAGCCCACACTGTCTCGTCTTCACTAGATTTTTATTCTTCTCCTCTTCTATTCTCACTAGGTTTCACAACTGTCACAACTCCTCGACTCGACTGATAAGAAAGATTACTTCGACTGAAAGCTAAATAAATCACAGACAATTGTTCCTTATCTTTGCGGGACACCTTAGTTAAAAAGAACGCTGATTGGCTAGATACGAATCTTCCAGACATAAGAATAACAAAATTTCCAGACAAACATTTCACAATCGCTATTTGATATCTATGCTATTATTCTGTTTCCGACAGGCATTACACAAGACAGCAGAGCGACTCAAACAGCAATACCCTGAGGCAGCAAATGTAATAATCAATAACACCTACATGGATGACCTTATCGAAAGTGTTCCTACGCTGAAAGATGCCAAAAAACTTGCCTCAGACATGGAGAAAGTTCTGATCACAGGAGGATTTCAGATTAAAGAGTGGATGTATTCCTATAACGCAAGCCATGTTCAATCAATCCTACCAGTTACACCCAACACAGCGACGGAAAAGGTCCTTGGTGTCAAATGGAATACTAACCAAGATGAACTTCGCTTCAAGGTCAAGCTAAATTTACAAGGCAAAATGAAGAAGAAGAATCCCAAGCCCATCGCTTGTGACGCTTTGACAAAAAGGAAGATCCTGTCACAAGTGAACAGCATATACAATCCACTCGGACTAGCAGGACCAGTTACTGTCAAAGCTAAGATCCTCATGAGACAACTATGGATAAGTGACCTCACCCTCGACTGGGATGATCCTATACCATCAGATCACACGAAAGACTGGATGATTTTCTTCGATGATCTGCCAGGAATGAATGAAGTGAAAATAAGAAGATGCATGAAAGCTCCTAATACCGTAGGAAATCCTATCCTCATCATTTTCTCTGACGGGTCGACAAATGCGTATGGTGCATGCGCATATGCTACATGGAAACTGACAACAGGAGAATTTGATAGTCATCTCATCATATCTAAAAACCGCTTAACACCTGTAAAGAAAATATCCATCAATCGTATCGAACTTTACGGAGCTGTACTAAGCAGCAGATTGAAAACAACTATAACATCCCACAGTAGATACAAGTTTGAAAGAATCATCTATATTGTAGACTCACAGATTGTCCATGCCATGATCCAGAAGGAGAACTATGGTTACAACACATTCGCAGCCATTCAGGTGGGAGAAATCCAAGAAAATACAGATCCCGAAAACTGGTATTAGACAGAGGGTATCTGGTTGGATCGCTCCAAGTCAGATCGCTCCAAACCGAAGTCAGATCGCTCCACTCGAAAGTTAGTTCGCTCCATCAAATAAGTTACTTCGCTCCATACATAAGTTACTTCGCTCCATGTCCATGATGATGTGTATTGCGTCTTGCGATCGAGTTGCTGATCGACGTATTCGCTAACTTGAGGCCACCAAAGCGAATTACCGATGTTGGAACAAGTGTTTCAGTGTGTAATGAACCTAGAAAACTAATACACTAACTTACTTCTGATCTTTTTAGTTTATAGTTGATGTTGCTTGCGATCAAGTTGCTGAAATATAAAGTGATTGATGATTCGTTCACTTGAACCCACCAAAGCGAATTACCAATGAAAGAATTACCAATGAAAGAATTACCAATGAAAGAATTACCAATGAAAGAATTACCAATGAAAGGTAAGATGATAACTAACTTTAATTTAGTGATTTTTCGTAAATTTTGGAAAACACATCAAGCGACATGATACTAGTTTAGCGATTTTGAAAATTTCGTATTTTGCGATTTCCAATTCAAAACATTAAATTCGGATAAGAACATTAATTTGCTAAAATCATATATGCCCTTTAACTGATACAACTTTTATGGGATTAAAATAAGTTAAAACTTAAAAAAAAAAAAACTGTCATGATGTTTTAATAACACACAACACACTGTAACACACTTGCTTATATTGTTTAATTTTTCTTTGTTGGTTCAGGCGCTTGGGCTGGCAAACAGTTATTACAACGACAGAGGCACCTACACTTACATCCATAAGATGATGGCACTTCTGTTCCTGCCCGAGAGAGAGATCCTGACCGAGTTTCAGCGTCTTCAACGCCAGGCAGAGTCCCCAACCTTAGCAGAGTTCGCCGAGTATGTCAACAGTACCTGGATCAGCAACATGACATGGAGCCCTGCCGACTGGACAGTCTTCAAACAAGCAGTACGAACGAACAACGACCTCGAAGGCTGGCACCACGGGATCAACCGTCGAGCAGCTGGCAAGTCACAACTCCCACTTTACGTCCTGATCAAGCTGCTACACCAGGAGGCCCACCTGACAGCTATCCAGATCCGTTTGGTATCAGAGAAAAAACTACGAAGGATCCAGCGCCGCAAATACAGAGACCTGCAGGCAAAAATCTTCGATCTCTGGGAGCAATATGACAACAACAAGAGGTCCACCAGACAGCTACTGAAAGCCTGTTCTTTCCTGAATGGTCCTGTTTAAAGAGCAGCAGACACCACAACCATCACAAACAAAAGGCTCCTTTAGGAGCCACCAAATAAAATAAAAGAAATGACCAACAATGAATATGATTTATAAATATTGCTTTCAAAGAATCGCCATTTTTAAACGTTGTCAAATCCAGCCGTGAGTGAGACTGGATTTGACTCCGGTTAAAAATGGCGAGTCTTTAGTCGCGTTACAATACTCTTTCTTTTCTTTTCCCTTATCCCTCTGTCTTTTATCAACCTTCCACGTTAGTTTTCTTCATGGAGTGAAGTAACTTATGTATGGAGCGAAGTAACTTATGTATGGAGCGAAGTAACTTATGTATGGAGCGAAGTAACTTATGTATGGAGCGAAGTAACTTATGTATGGAGCGAAGTAACTTATGTATGGAGCGAAGTAACTTATGTATGGAGCGAAGTAACTTATGTATGGAGCGAAGTAACTTATGTATGGAGCGAAGTAACTTATGTATGGAGCGAAGTAACTTATTTGATGGAGCGAACTAACTTTCGAGTGGAGCAATCTGACTTCGGTATGGAGCGATCTGACTTGGAGCAATGTAACCATGGAGCAATCTAACCGTAATTCGGACAGAGAGCAAAAATAACATTGCCGACTGGCTAAACCGCGGAAAGAAGTCAAATGAAATTGGCATGTACACTTTGTGGCAAAAAGGACCGGATTTCCTGAAGCTACCTGAATCTGCATGGCCAATCACACGTACTTATACACAACAGCATGCAAACATAATCACACATACCAAACCAGATGAAGCTGTAAACGATTCACTCGCAAAACGAATAAACATTGATAGGTTCTCAACCTACAATAAGCTTATCCATACAACCGCTCGAATTCTAGCAATGTATAAGACACACAAGATGACATTTAAAAATGCCTCAAGACCGCTCACACCAGATGATATCTTGAAGGCAGAAACATTTTGGATTCATGAAGCTCAAAAATCAATGCAACGTGACATAGATAAAGGGAAATACAAACGACTTTGTCCAAGGAGACGTGATGATGGCATATACGTCGTAGGTGGCCGCGGTGAGAGATGGATCGAGATGAGTTATAACAAAACCGAGGTAATACTTCTGCCATATCAACATCGCCTCTCACGCCTTTATGCTGAGCATATTCACAGAAGAGGCCATCTCGGTTCCTCGTGACGGCCAGCAAGGTGAGATCAAGATTTTGGATCACGAAGTTGTTGAAACTAACCAAATCCATCAAATACAACTGCATTATCTGTAGAAAGCTTGAAAGAAAACCAGAAGAACAAATTATGGGAAAACTCCCAATAGAGAGGCTGAAACCCGCACCCCCGTGGAATTCCACTGCGATTGATTATTTCGGACCCCTCAAGATTAAAGATGAAGTCAAGAAAAGAACATTTGGAAAGGGATATGGAGTACTGTTCAACTGCATGGGAACCAGAGCTGTCCATATCGACATAGCTCCTGATTACAGTACTGACAAATTCTTAATGGTACTAAGAAGATTTGTATCGATCAGAGGATACCCTTCCAAATTGTATTCTGACAATGGCAGCCAATTAGTAGCAGCAAGCGCCGAGCTAAAGAAAGTCATCAACGACTTAGATAAGAAACAGCTATTAGAGTTCCAAGTAATGGAAGGATTTGAATGGAAGTTCTCATCAGCAGATCCCCCCTGGCAAAACGGTGTATCGGAAGCACTTATTAAATCCGTGAAAAAAGCAATCACATTAGCTATTGGTGAAAACGTTCTAACCTTCTCCGAGTTACAAACCATTTGTTACGAAGCGGCAAATCTTGTAAATGAACGACCAATCGGCCGACATCCTACATCAACAGATGATACTTATCTTTGTCCCAATGACCTCCTCCTTGGTAGAGCAACATCAAGAGTACCAAGTGAACCTTTCAAAGAGCCGTCCAACATCAAACAGCGCTTTGAACTTGTACAACAACTAACTGACTCATTTTGGCGGAAATGGACTCGAGACTACTTTCCAAGCTTATTAGTCCAACAAAAATGGCACACGGCCCAGAGAAACCTTGAAATTGATGACATTGTTCTTATCCGAGATTCTAACGCGAAAAGAGGACAATGGAAACTTGGGAAAATATCAAAAGTTTACAAAGGGGAGGACGGGAAGGTCAGACGAGCCCTCGTCGAATATAAAAATCCCAAGCCTGGCGAAAAAGTGACCGAATACAAAGGGAAAGGCTTTACAACTATCGAACGACCAGTTAACAAGCTGATAACTATCCTACCTGCATCAGAAGACAAATGAACTATCTCAAAACATTTTGGCAATAATAACTCTGAACTATTATGTGTAATTCTGAAATGATTTTTACCGAAAACTTTAAACAGTCTGTAATTGCCGGCGGGGAGTGTATTGCGCAAAATTCTAATTTCTTTGCGCATTATAATTTGATGATGTAACAGATATAATTGTTAAGATTTTCTATCGCTAGACAGTGTTATGGACACCTAGAACCAATGGGTAAATATTTACCTTGATTTCTTTTGATATTATCGATATGAACTGAAACTAATTTGTTAGCGCATTACCTTACAGATTTCGAATCTCCGATCCGTATCCATGGATTTTGTCATAACCTTCATCCGTTATTTATTGTAATAAAATATCGAGGTTTGGAACCTTTGGAATATTAATGTCCTAACACACCGTCACACTAGCCACCCCAATGTTTTCATCCACGCCAATAGGAAAATTACCTATTGCAGCAAGTACATGTATTCTCTAAACTGCCTCTATCCGTTGGAGAACTGAAGTATACTTTAACACTACTTTTCCTTTTTTTCCCCTTTCAATTAGGTGAAGAGAAAAGAGCCAAGGCATTTGTTGAAAGCTTGTATGGTAAAGATGATAGCAGCTCATATATTTCTAGAATTAAGTTTCAAACCGGAGTGGGCATGTATTGCATGGTGAAAAGATACAAAACACTAAGTGCATGTACATTAAAAGAATATGAGAGTTGTAATATCTTGAGACACATCACTAAGAACTAAAACTTGTCAGTTGGTGCTGTATGTATTGTATGTGATCATTCACTGTAAGGTGTTCTCAATTTCCTGGAGTCATTAGTCATCTGCTGTCCTGTGGCGATGGAAGGGCACGATTTGGCTGCACAGGCAGTGGAAGGTAACAGTGCACTCCATTATATACAAATTTTAAAGGTCACTTATCGGGTAGTCAATCCTAGTTCAAATTGTATTTTGAAGCGTTTTGGCCATGAATATCATAAATTAAATATTCAAAATGGAGATTAAGTTAATAAGACATGCACATGCAGGACCTCCTGGTTGGCGCAGAGGCTAGTAAGTAAAAGTTTGAAAAGACTCATCTTGATCTGGTCATGCAAAGAATACATGTACCTAATTGATTCTCCAATATCCTACTGTTAGACTCAAGATGTGGACCTGGGGTCAGTTCAATAAAGAAATTACACTTGCAGATTCTACAGTTGTAAAAAATGCATGTAAAGTCCGACTTGTAAATACAAGAATTCAATAAAAAAAATTCAAACACTGGAATTTACACGTGTACAAGCAGTCTTACTACAAGTGTTAATTACAATTGTAACCGTACAATTGTAAATAGTACTGAGTGGATATGTAAACTACAAGTGCAAATTATTTCAGCTCAGTGCAGAAAATTTATTTCGTAGACCGCATCGATTTTTTCCTTGTCGTTTCAGCATGTTGTCGAAATCCCAGAAATTGCTATTAGCGCAGCTTGTGAGGGATAACAAATCAGTTGTTTTGGCTCCATTTTCCTCGACTGTAACGAAAAAGGTGAAACAGGAGGCGTGGGAAAGCATCTTAAGACAACTGAATGGTGTTGGAGCGAACGTCGACAACATAAAAACCCTGAGAGATGTTATCTGGGCAAACATTCGCCGTGGTACGATAAAAAAAGTCAGTGACTCGAAAAAGACCGGTGCAGGAGGGAGTGAACTCACAGAGCTGGACGATACAGTCCTTGATATACTTGGAAGAGAGAGCGCAAACTTGGAGCCTGTGAAGGTTGAAGACACACCAATTGTGTTTGAGAGTGAAGAGGTTGTCTGCACTACACCTGAGACCGCAGGTGAGATAATTTAGAATAACCAGAAACAACATTTATAAATCAAAATGTCCTTCTTTCGTTTCTCTGCGAGCAAGTTGTCAATTTGAAGCTAGGTCAGGCGCGATTATCATTTGATTTAATTATTAGAGGGAGGGCAACGGACAAGAGGATATCAATAATTATTGAAATGACTTCAATGACATAGCTCATACCATGGTTTAATGAATTCAATGGCCGTTTTTATACTAGAGACGCATTATCCGTCTGGACGAACTTGGGCAAACATTTGTAGTTCGTCCGGTTATGTGTCTCTCGTGTAAAGACGGGCACAAGACGCATTATACGTCTAGACGAACTTTCATTTGAAATGCGTCTTGAACGACGCACTTCAAAAGGTAGTTCGTCTGGACGCATAATGCATCTTTGTGTGTAAAGATGGGTAACGGACGAATAACATTAAGAAATGAGACCGTGACGGAAAAAAGCCAGCGGTTATCCGCCCAAGAAAACAACATGGCGGAGTCAAGTGCAAAAGAGCGAAGTTGACCATGGACAGAAACAGAGCTCAAGTACTTCACCCTTGTTCTGGGAGACGAAACAAACGAGTTTGCTTACAAACTGGACACGCTTGCATTGAAGAAGACTGCAAACAAACCTGTCTTCGAGGATATAAAGAAAGCCTTTGAGGAGCGCATATCCTCCAAAGAATTTAAAGAAGAAAATGCCTCTTGTACCTTATTACAATCCAATGCCATATAGCCATACCCCTCCAACCAATCAAGTGGCAAGTGGTAGCCAAGATAGCCACATTTTAGACATGGATAGCCAGAATGATCAAAGATCCATGCGTTGGTATTAGCAAGAGTTCCATTAAGGGTGGGTGACTCATGTTTATGGAGGAGTTGGTGGTGGACTTTTCAAGGTCCTCTATCACACTTATCTTTATTGAGCAATACTGTGAATTTAAGGGGGCATGAGCTTCCCTCTTGCGTTTTGAAACCTCAGACATGTTATTACAGGCAGTTGTGTTTACTTGTAATCCATTTATTGTCAGTTGTGATAAAGGTACCAAAATGTAACCAGTGATCCAGACACTAACATCACTACTGTTCTGTAATTGAAACAAACCATTGTTACAAAGTTTAACGGAACTACAACTTTATAACACTTCTATAGAATTGGATGTATTGGTTAGGGACTGGTCATTATTTATGTAAAGGGGGGGGAGGAATTTTTTTAAGCAATAAGTTTAATTCTTGACCCACCCCCCTGAAACTTTTTCATTTATTTTTTGACTCACCCTCAAATAAATGTTATTTTTTAGGCTATGACTCCCCCCCCCCCGCCCCAGTATGCCCTCTATGAGGATGAGGTTAACAAGAAGTTCCAACAACAAATAAACAAGAAAACAGCAGCAAAAATACTTGTTATTCTTTGAAACCAAGGCTGTTTTGCTTTGGACTGTCATGAATTGGTTGGAAATACCATTGAAAGACTTGAAATGATGTAAAAACTTATGTCAAGTAGGTAAAAATACCAGTTCAAGTCTTTCATCATAATATTTCAAGCCAATAATTCATATCAGACTGTTAAGCAGTCTCAAGCTTTTAACCAACCTCGGTTTTTGAGGATGACAATTAAGTATTTCTTTTGTGCTGTTTTTGTTTAGTTGATATAAGAACTTCATGTTCATTTTTGTTGTTGTTGTTTGTCCTCCTATTTTTGCCTTAATACATGTCATTTTATTCTGCCTTCAAGAATAATCCATCCCCTTTCATATAAAAAAATAAACCTGACCCCCCTCCCTATGATTTTGTCCTACTCCCCCCTTTTTACCAGTTTATCTAGTTGTTTGGTTGCTTTAGCATAGAGTATTTTACTCCCAGATTACTTAAAATAACTTGAAATAGCAGTAATTTTTACACTAATGGATGAAAGGAAAGCAAAACTTCTGGTTCATACTTAATGTATCAACAAATATTATTTCCTATATCTATTGTGAAGGGAAAATGTTTGAAAAATATTTTGAATATCAAATTTGAATCTATTTACATGTAACAAAACCTGTTTTCCATCAAATCTGCTAAGGATCAAGTAAAGTTCAGTTTCTCAGTTTTTGCCTTTGTTATTAATTTGAATACAGAATCAAGGGGCTACATTTCTTTCCTCTCTGATATCCCACAACCAATTGGCAACGGCTTCTCTTGTTGTATTTCCATCATCAGCTTGGACATCTTCATTTCGAATCAGATTGAGTTCATTGACCTGAAGTCTCCACCTGGGGTTACAGGGATCACTTCGGTGGATGCAAAGATAATGGAGAGCAATGCAGGTCATGATGATGAGGGAAATGTTGTCTAAATGACATTCTGTCTTTTTGTAGAGAATTCTCCACCGCCCCTTTAACATTCCATAAGCATGTTCAGAAACTACCCTTGCAGAGCAATCTCTTCTGTTAAAATACCTTTGCTTAGGTACCCTTGTCCCATCTTTGTATGGTTTTAGAAGCCAGGAATGGTTGGGAAAGGCTGAATCACCCACAGTGGTAAACGGAATCTCCCCATGAGGGCCAAGATTCAAAGACCTGTTAGGAAGCACGTGACCAGATTCGATGTCAGAATAAATACCACAACTTCTTAAAAGCCTAGAGTCATGTGTGGATCCTGGGGCGCCCACAGCAGCCCTCATAAAACGCTTGTTATAACCAATGAATCCCATGTTTGTAACTGAATACCTCTTCTTGTAACTGTAAAAATTCTTAAGTTTAGTGCTTACGTAAACATGAAACCCATCCCACGCCCCAACACAAGGAAACTCCCAATTTCCCAGAAAATTTTCCAGTTCTTGACTCCACTCTTCTAGATTTCTTGGCAGGTAAACGAATGTGTCATACAAACATCCCACAATGGCCTTACAAACGTGGGGACTCAGAATTTTTTCTTTGTCCTACGCTCCTAACAAAGCAAAAAACATCTTTCTTTATTTCTTTACTGAGCTCAAAACTTACCATCTCTCTAATTTCAATGTAATTTATGATATATCTTCTAGGAATGTTCTAAACATCCATGCAACTGTGAAGGTGAGGGAGATGGCTGTGGAGACAGTACAGTTGTAAGTATAGTCAGTCGTTTGAAATAAAGTCCAATTCCTATTTTAAAACTTGAAGAATACTTCTGAAGAATATTTATGAAGAATATTTATGAATACTTTTATTACAACATATTTTATTTTTCTCTACAGACTTTCAAGAATCCATGTTTTTTTTGTGACAGTTCAATCAATAAGCTTTCATTTCTATTTTTGAGTGATGTGTTCTTAAGTGTTTATTCAACATCTGTAGTGAGATTTCCCCCCAGAATTTGGACATGATGATTTTGTTGGATTGGCAATGCACCAAGTTTCATACCTCCCTTACTCAAGTGGATTTAGATAATCATGTAGCCATGTTGACATGAATTTTCATGTCTCACTACCACATCCACAGTATTATATGACAAGCCAAATTGTAGTGTGTGCGTTCAACATCTCAGCCTTCTTTGATTTTAACAAATTTTTAATCAGCCAAATTGTTAATCTGGTTGGAGAGCAGTAGAAATGATAGAAATGAATTGTATTGCAAATGACAGCAAATGCACCAAATTCAGAAATATTTGTTTCTTATTTGGACCTGCTCCTGAGGAAAAAACATTATTTGATGTATGCTTCAATGAATAATCAAGGTGAATAAAGTCCAAGTTTAGAATAAGACAAATATTGATTTGTTACAATCAGAGGTTCTTACAGTCAGACTGCCTCAGTGTGTTGTGATGTGTTACATATTGTTGCTGGCTTACTACACTGGTTACCCATGGTGTTGTACGAGGGCAGTTATGATCTGATAGAGTAAGAACTGTGTTGTGGGATGCTGGGACTTGATATATAATTTTTTTCTTTACTTGAAGGTTTTTGGACCACAACCCACCAGTTTGGGTGTTTAGTAAGGACATGCAGCTTCAGCTAAATGAAGACAACGTGATACACTTAAAGGAATAATAATAATAATAATAATAATAATAATAATAATAATAATTGCAACCAATTCTGACGCCACTTGGTTAGATGATGTTCAGTGTGCGTTTGCCGAACTCGTCCCAGTCCCCCCAGAGGAGGATTTTGAACTTGACACAGCCAAGTGCGCTTATGTCATCAAAAGGAAGCGCAACTGGAGTGCCCCCGGCCCAGATCAAATAGTGAACTTCTGGTGGAAAAGGGCGGAGTCACTACATAAAGGGAAAGGGATCGCTGCTAGTTTCCAGGCCGCCGTGGTAGGAGATGGGGAATAACCGGAATGGTTTACAGGAGGGAAAACACGTTTACTACCGAAGCCAGGTGAGTTCTCTAGCCAAAACCAAAGGCCTATTACATGCCTTAACAACCAGTACAAGTGGTTCACCTCGTGTTTACTCCCTCCAATGGATAAGCACCTAGAGGAGTACGATCTGCTAGAAGGAGAACAAAGGGGAGCAAAGCTGAGGTGCAGTGGGACAACAGACAACCTATTGGTCGACAGTGTGATGAAATCAGTACATTAACGGCTAATTATGTACGTATAATTAGTGTTCATTATGTACGTCACTAATGAGATAAAAAGGTCTTGACTAACTGGAATAAACACAAGATCATACACAGTTCAGTCTGATTGATATCTCCAAAACTGGTGCCGAGACCCTTGTAAAAATGTCCAAGGAAGAACCGAAACTGGAACTGAAACACCACAAGGCAGTCAGAGGGGCATACAAAGGACACTGTAACCAAGACATCAAACGCGCGGAGCGACTTCTGACTGATACCGATGCTATAAACATCACAGAACTGAAAGCAATTGCAGAGCGACTTTCAAGACGATTGGACAAAATAAAAGCCATGGATTCGGCGATCTTGAGCGCCCTTGTAAAGGACGAAGAGATTAGTGAAGAGGCAGATCACGCATTAACATTCCAAGACGGCATCCATTACTGGATCCTGAAAATTAAAGAATTTGCAACCGACGAGTACC